ATCCCCCTCACTCCTTCTTGTTGCACCACAGCGCCGTGTGCCAGAAGATGGGGGTCTTCATAAAGCGCCCCGAGCGCATGTAGGCTGAGATCTTCTCCAAGGCCTGGGGGGGGGCAGCAGGGGGGGTAATGTGGGGACAGAGGGGGGACAGGGATGGGGATAAATGAGGGAACATGGGAACAGGGATGGGGGTGGAGAGATGGATGGGGACAGGGATGGGGACAGAGATGAGAACAGGTTGGGGACAATATGGGGACAGGAACAGGGATGAAGATGGATACAGGATTGGGGATAGGGATGGGGACAATATGGGTACAGGGATGGGGACAATATGGGGACAGGATTGGGAACAGGGATGGGGACAGGTACAGGGATGGGGACAATATGGGGACAGGATTGGGAACAGGGATGGGGACAATATGGGGACAGAGATGGGGATGGATGAGGACAAAGGTTGAGGACAGGAATGGATGCAGGGATGGGAATGGGGATGGATACAGGATAGGGGACAGGGATGGGAATGGGTTGGGATGGATGGGGATAATTTGAGGAAGGGGTGAGGATGGAGGGGGGTGACATGGGGACGGGGATTTGGGGTCCCCACTGACCTCAAAGCGCTGCATGAACTGCTTCAGGTTGCCCTGCAGCTCGGGGCAGTCGGGGGCAAACATGCGTTGCTGGTCCAGCACATCATAAGCCAGAAAGTCAATGAAGGTGAGCTGAAGGGAGGGGGCAGCGGGGTCAGCACAGCTCCGGACCCCCCCAAACCCCCACCCCACCCCCCCACCCCCCCAGCACCCACCTTGGTCCCTACAAACCACTGCCGGGAGCCCAGGAAACGTGACAGCTGCTGCAGTTTCCCTGGCAGCTGCTCCAGGTACGCCGGCTTCAGCTTCTCCTGCACGATGGGTTGGGGTCAGCACAGGGATAGGACCCCCCCCCAGACCCCCCCAAGCCCCCCCCCCAACACCTGGGGCCACTCACAAAGTCAGGGCTGTAGCAGAGCCGCGCGAAGGCCATGCGCAGATCCATCAGGTGGTTCTCCAACATGTCCACGTGCTGCTTCTCCACCTCCGTCTCCCCACCTGTGGGACAGGGAATGCATCAACACCTCCCCCCCC